AAAATGGGCAAGGTCATTACTAACTGGCAGGCGGGGAGGGCTTTAGGGATTTAGGGCTTCAGGGGTTTTAGCGGTTTTGGGGTTTTAAGGTTTTTGTGTTTTAGGGTTTTTGTGTTTTAGGATTTAGGGTTAGGGTTTTTAGGGCACACGGAACAGGGGGGGGAGGGGTTTTAGGGGTTTTGGGGGTTTTGGGAGGGAGTTTTAGGGTTTCAGGGTTTTAGGGGTTTTGGGGGTTTAGGGTTTTAGGGTTTTAGGGGTTTGGGGGGGTTTAGGGCTTTAGCGTGCTAGGGGTTTTGGGGGTTTTAGGGGTTTTAGGGCTTCAGGGCTTTAGGGGTTTAGTGGATTTAGGGTTTTAGGGGTTTTGGGGGTTTAGGGTTTTAGGGGTTTGGGGGGTTTAGGGCTTTAGGGTTTTAGGGGTTTTGGGGGTTTTAGGGGTTTTAGGGCTTCAGGGCTTTAGGGGTTTAGGGTTTAGGGTTTTAGGGCTTTAGGGGGGTTTAGGGCTTCAGGGGTTTAGGGCTTTAGGGGTTTAGGGCTTTAGGGGTTTTATTCTTTCAGGGCTTTAGGGGTTTTAGGCTTTAGGGCTTCAGGGGGGTTTAGGGCTTCAGGGGTTTAGGGTTTTAGGGGTTTTGGGGGTGTAGGGTTTTAGGGTTTTGGGGTTTTAGGGTTTTTTGTGTTTTACGGTATAGGGTTAGGGTTTTAGGGCACACGGAACAGGGGGGTTTTAGGGCTTCAGGGGTTTAGTTTAGGGCTTTAAGGCTTTAGGGCTTTAGGGCTTTAGGGGTTTAGGGGTTTAGGGTTTTAGGGGTTTTTTGGGTTTAGGTTTTAGGGTTTTAGGGGTTTGGGGGGTTTAGGGCTTTAGGGCTTTATAGTGTAGGGCTTGAGGGTTTTAGGGTTTAGGGCTTTAGTGGTTTGGGGCGTTAGGGTGCAGGGCTTTAGGGTTTTAGGGTTTAGGGGTTTAAGGTTTAGGGCTTTAGGGTTTTATGGTTTAGGGTTTAGGGCCGGAGGCCGGACGGCGGAGGGTTGAGGGTTCTAGATCTAGGAGGGTTGAGGGTTTAGTAAGGGTTTACAGGATCTAGGAGGGTTTGTGGCTTAGGATGTAGGAGGGTTTAAGGCTTGGGCTTCCTCAAAGAGGGTTCGTGGGTACAGGGGTTTGCGGTCAAGCTCGGGGAGGCAACCCTAAACCCTAAACCCTAAACGAGTGCCCTGATCTCAAGGTCCGGGGGTGCTCACGGAGACAGGTTCTCCGAATAACAACCCTCTTACCCTAACCTTCCAGATACCCACTATATAGGGCCCTAGGGGCTCTAGTACCCTCTACAGGTACCTGGAGGGTGAGGGTTAGTTTTCACGCCTGTTCGGAGCCACCGGAAGTTTCTCGACTGTTTTTTGGACTTGGAGTTGAAGCTTTGAACGCCGAATGAGGCCTAAACCCAAAAGCGCGCACGTCAATCAAGTGTTTTATTAAACCTCGGAACCCAAGCAACTCCTGAAACCCAAGCCTATACATGCTATACTATATACCCTAAGCTTCGAAACCCTAAACCCTAAACCCTGAACCCTAAACCCTAAACCCCTTCGAAACCCAAGCAACTGCAGTGGTTGCCAACTCTTCGAAGGAGGGCCTTCGGCTCCGGCATCAAGAGCCCGGTAAACCTGGAACTTCTTCGGCCCATTTTTGTGTTTTTCTTGTGTTGATGGCTTTCTTGATTCGCTTCTCTTCTGCTTTTTAGGCTTCTTCTCTAAGGGCCTTGGGAGTTACAAGCGGGCTTGAGGGGTATGTAATACTATCGTCGTTTAGGGGTTTAGGGTTTATAAGGGTTTTAAAATTTAGGGTTTAGGGTTTAGGGGTATAGATATACTTTTACAGTACAAGCGCTCGGGTCTACGTAGCGTCATCGGGCTCGAGCCAGTGTTGAACGTAGATGGCCGCTGCAGGCCTTGCTGTCTCCTTTGCAGCTTTTTCGCAGTTAGGGGTTTGGGATGGGATGGAGCTTCACGCTTTGAAGCCCACCAAGATGCTCATCGGTCAACCCCCGAATCCCCAGACTTTGTGGCGTGAAGTTGGCGACCGTCGCCAGCAACCAGCAATGAATTTTGCCGTTTCTGCTTCTTCCCACAATTTAAATTGCGCTGGGCATTCTCGATGCTGGCCTGTGCCGCGGCGATGATGGATTCGTACGTGGTTCCCTCCGTTCCTGGCGCCGGTAAGACGAAACCTCGCTCGGCATCGGTTTGCCCCAGCCTGATTGCCACCACCGACGAGCCTGCCCCGACTTCTCCTGCTTTGGTGTCTCGCTTTACTGGTGGTAGATAGATCGAAAAAAAAGGCAAAGCGCACAGGTTGATGAAGGTGGCCACGTGCGACCAAGCTTTTCTTCGGGGCTCAACTCGGCGGCTTCAGCTTGGACCGCCGGAGTCTGGGCTGCAGCAGATGGGTCTTCCTTCTTATCCTTGGCCTCGACCTCTGCAGGAGGAAAGACTGTTGTGTACCCTAAACCCTAAACCCTAAACCCGTGTTCTCTGCTTTCCCCTCTTCGCCTTTGCCCTTGGCTTCCGTCCGGGCTTTCTTCTGTGCAGCGCCGGCTGCTGCTTCTATGGTGGGCATCGAAACCGGAAGCTGTCAGAAGGCTCCCGTCACCCTTGAGATTTAGGGTTGAGGGTTCAGGGTTGAGGGTTTAGGGCTTTCAGTCTCTGAGTTAGGTGCGTCCCATGCCTCCACACCCACCATCCCAAGACAAACTCTAGCGCGAGAACCTAACACCCCACGCGCCATCCTAAACCTTGAGCCTTGAACCCAGAACCTAGACACTAAACTTAAGCAGAAAACATAAACTCCTAAGCAACCCTGCGGGCGTGTGCTATGTGAGACTACAGGCCAAGCCTCAAACCCATCTGCAGTCGTTTATCAAGGTTGCTCGTGCGAGCTTTACCGGCGAAGAGTCTTACAAATTTAATAAAGGCTCCTTTGATGAGGTCTAGTTAGTTCGAAGTATGTACTTATTGTCTCCATTGTAGTTCTTTTGGGTTAATTACCTTGTTCATATACTACATAATTAGCAAATTTAAGAATCCAAACCATAAGTTGGGTAGCCCCCACAAGGAACTACAATGGAGTCTGCAAGTGGCGAGGAACTTGGACGCTTAAGGCGTCACTGGCCCCACCTGCGTGTGCTCCGCACAGGGTAGCCGGAGGATGCAGTGGGCCCCCGCTCCCACAGAAGACCTGAACAAGCTTAACAAAGGCGCTTTAGGGCCTTTAGGGTTTAGGGTTCCTGAAAAAGACCTGAACAAGCTTAACAAAGGGGATTTAGGGTTTAGGGTTCTCAAAAAAGATCTGAACAAGCTTAACAAAGGGGGTTTAGGGTTTAGGGTTTAGGGTTCCCACAGAAGACCTGAACAAGCCTAATAAAGGGGGCTTAATAGACTATGTAACGCTTTGGGGCCTTTTATAAACTATAGTATAATGAATAATGAAATGCGTAACCTTAAGAAATAACGTGAGAAAATAGTCAGGGTTTTAGACTTCCGTTGAACGGTTCCCTGAGGAGGTCCTCTGCAAGGGTCCATTGAGATCTGCGATTTGCAGGGCTTGATACAGTTGCTACAGCAATTGCCGCAAGTGCCTTGATAAACAGATACAGAATTGTTGGTGTGGTTTGGGGGGTTGCACCTGCTCACGAGTGACACAGGGGTCAGGGCCAGCAAAGGTCGAATGCCAATGATCAAAAGACATGGACGTCTAAATGATACCAGTCCTTCGGGTTCCTGAAAAGAGCCAGTACTCTTCGCTTAGGGTTCCTGACAAAAACCAGTACTATTCCGCAGGGCTCCTGAACACATTTATACCATTCAGGCCCCTACGCTACACTCTACGCCCCCAAACCCTGAACCCCAAAACCTCTTAAGCACCCAAGCGCCTCAATTCTGAACCGCACGCTTCAAAAAGGCCCACACTCAGAACCTCGAGCCTCATAAGCCCGTTCTTGGAACTGCACCCCTTATCTTAGGGCTATAAGTTGTAAGTTATAAGAGTAAGATAACTTATCTTACTCTTATAAACTTACAACTTATAGCCCCCATATACCACCCCTCTAAAACCCCTTATAAGACCCTTAAGACTCTTGTCACACCGTTGTACAACCATGTCCTAAACCCTGAACACCAATCCCTTCACCCAAAAGACCACATGTTAGTGTCCTTGTTATAAGAGTGCCGTACTATTTAGGGGGCCCTAAAACGGGACCCTAAGTGATCCTAATTCAGAGAACTACCCTTATAGTACCCTTATAAAACCCTGATAGAAACCGCCATAACGATCCCTCTAAGGAACCCCGTAATTTGGAGAACTACCCACGTGCATCTTCACGCACTTTAACCAGCGCCTCACGAGATTCGCCGCCGAGAAGAAGTCGCCCGGGCCATTCCTGGAGAGCGGTGCTGTGGGTTTAGGGATTAATTAGGGACTTAGGGTTTAGGGACTTAGGGTTTAGGGATTTAGGGTTTGGGGATTTAGGGTTTAGGGACTTAGGGCTCAGGGATTTAGGGTTTAGGGTCTAGGGATTTAGGGTTTGGGGATTTAGGGTTTAGGGATTTAGGGTTTAGGGTCTAGGGGCTAGGGTCTGGGAGGTAAGGTTTAGGGTATATGGTCTAGAGTAAAAAGGGAGCCCTGCGTACTCCGAAAACTGTAGAATCCTTATTAGGGTTGATAGGGTATAGGGTTTAGGGTTTCGGGGTTAAGGGTTGAGGATTTGATTGAAGCCTAAAGAGTCCGAGCCGCCTCTGCCCAGAAGAACCGATCAAACCCATGCACACGAGATCCAGAAGTTAAACATGTCTGCCCAAGTCGCTCGTGGTCAACGATGATGAGTTCGAACCCGGCTTGGGCGATGAGCTCCTAAAGTCAGTGAGGCTTCAGGTGCTTTCACGCTTTAGGGCGTTACCAGCTTTGAAGGCTTCACATAGAGATTTGGGTGCTTCGTCGTTTTGTTGCTTTGAAGAGTTTGACCTGTTTGAGTACGCGGCTGCTTGGTACGGCTTGATATGCCCAAATGGGGTTCCCCGAAGTCTCAAAATAGGGTTTAGGGTTTAGGGTTTAGGGTTTAGGGTTTAGGGAATAGCCCACAAGCCTGTCATAGCATAGTCTTTGGACTCAAAGCCCTATAATATGAGTCCTTGGGGTTCTGGTGTTGGTTGATTGGTTGAGGTTCTGGTTACTGCAGGGGCATTGGGAGGTCTCTTGTTGTGTTGGAACAAGAAGTTCTGCAGAAATATAGGGGCCTTAATATTTAGACTAGGGTTTTCGGCTCCTTCATACTGTAATTGTAATAAGGAGCCCTAAGGAATACTATAGGCAGTTATTAAAATTATTTAGGCTTCTAGATTATCCATCTTTTTCCTTTATCCGCGTTTAGGAAGTGTCTTGCCAGGAATATAGGGAAGCGGCCTGGCGGGAATTCCATATGGCGCTGCTTTGTAGGAGGAGGATTGTTGGCTTGGGTTTAGGGTTTAGGGTTTAGAGTTTAGAGTTTAGGGTTTGGGGGGTCTGGGGCTTCGAGTGCCTGTGGCACGAAGACCGCGCCCAGACAAAAACACGAGAGCGATGCGATAGCAACAACTACAACTCCCGACTCACGCCATCGAGTTTGGGGCTGTCGCTTTTGGCCCAAGCAGACTCTCGTGACAAAACGCCGCCCTGCTTTCCTGCTCTGACTTGACTTGATTGAATGTGCTCGTGTCGACCCATCGAACCAGCAGAAAAAACTCAAACTCTAAAACCATAAACTGCCATAAACCGTAATCGAAACCTAAATCCATGAAGCCCCAAAACCTCGACGTCTTAAATGTACACCCTAAACTTGAAAAGCATCAACCCCTGAAGTCCTAAAGCCCGAAGCCCGTGAAGCCCGATCTCCTGTTGTCATTAAAGTAGCCCTTACAGCAATCCTTTTTGTAACCCGTAAAGGGTTTTGCCTTCCGGTTTAGGGTTTAGGGTTTAGGGTACTATAGTACCTGAACCCTAAACCCTCAACCCTACATCTCCTTCTTGCAGCCCCGAATAGCCCTGAAAGCCCGGATCCCGTCTCCGTGGTGATCGCACCACTCAGCTGTGCCACGCACGCCACAGCCCGGGCGCCTTTGAGGGTTTAGGGCTTAGGGCTTAAGGTCCA